ATTGACCCTAAGGACTTAAGCAGCTACTTTGGGAATTTGACTTTTATATTCTAAATTATATTTATGGCTGCATGTATTAATACAAGCCCCGTACCCAAGCTGGGTAAGTTTGGTATCCATCAGTCTCTGCAGTGATTGGATATAAACTCTGGTTTCCTGCCTCAGAAAAGAACTTGAAAAATGTCCTCTCATGGAAAAGAATGTGGACAGACCATTCTTGAACCACTTTTACTGTTACCATCTGTGGAATTTTGCTGTGTCAAAGTGTGGGTGCAGCCCCCCAGTGGCCTTGTTTAGCTTTCCCTAATCCTCTGCCACACTGTCACAGCCAGAATGTCATTACATGCACGACATATGCCACCTGAAACCCCCTGTTGGTACAAAAAGACAGGCTGTAGCATTAGGAAATTGATTGGTTCCTTCCCAGACAAAACATTTGAAGTTAAGTAACAAGACACAGAAGGATGTAGATGAAGGGAGGAGGTGAGGAGAGGGGCCAACAGCCCCCAACATTAAAAAAAAAAGAAAAAGAATGTGAGGTTCATGTGGGTGCAGAGGATAAACCTTCCCCACCTCCTCATCGCCTCTTACGTCTGAATATCAAACCAATGATTAACACCAGCTGCTCGTTCCTCCGTTTTAGGGTAAACAAGAATTCTCTGTCATCTCTCACAGTCCTGCAGGAGCACAATGTGGGGTCCATTGCCTCCATGTGTCCCCTGTTTTTTTTTTTTTTTTTTTTTTTTTTTTTCCACCTTCACTGTGCTGATCTTTGCTAAACGCATTAAAGGTAATGTACACACCGGATAGGGCTCATTCAGAGACATTTTTAGTGGCTTTTTCCTTGCAGTCATTCAAAAAGTTTGGAAAACATGAGGGGTTTGCAAACTTTGTGATGTAGCAAAAATATTTACTTTGTATTAGTATTTATTTTAATTAGAAAGGAGGCTGCAGAATGTCTGCTGACATTGAAAGCTTTATGAATGGTGTTATACCCATCTCTGCTTCTCAACAATTTTTTTTCTACAGAAAGTCAAAATCGAGATTCTTCATTGAGATAGAAAAAAAGAAAAGCTCTTACTTATTTCCCAAAAGGTTGATTCTGTTCATTTGGACGTAGCGTTTTCAATGGGGGAACTGGAGCATAAACTGGGTGTCATCAGGACACCACAACATCCCCACAGACACAGTGCCCAGGGAAGCAGAAGAACATCACGTCAAGAAGGCTCTGAGTAAATTCCAGCTTGTGGAAGACCTATGCTATTTTGTTTAGGTCTTATCAGTCTTACAAATGTGATTGTTTCTGTTCTTTCTTCCTGTCTGTATTTAAAAGTTGAATCATACCTCTCCAGCTGCCCAAAACAGCCACAATAGGCTTATCTGTGAGTTTCTATGATTTTCAGTACCTGCAGAAGAATCCACAGTCTGGGAGAACCTCAGCTGAGAGGCCTTCTCAGCAGAACATCAGATTCATTTTTTCATCTTTTCTTATATTCGCATCACTGGCACCAATTTCTGTTGGTTTGCATCACTCAAAAGTGTTGTGCTTTGTGTTTGTTATAACATTGGAGATGTTTGCATGACTGCTTCTTTACCTTTATGCAATTCTTCGTATTCCTTTTTTGTTTTAAACTTTTTTATTTTGCACTTTGGCTGGCCTGGTACTCCTCACAGGTACCCAAACTATCTATGCGTGGGTTGGTAGCAGCAATGAGTTACTTTTCCCTTTACTGTCATTTATAGGGGGGAAAGCTGTTGCTCAAGATTCATTATTTGGCAATAGTTATTTTGTCACTAAAGAGAAGACATCTTTCCAGGTGCTTATGTAAATTTATTCATTGTAAAATCTTAAGATTAGATTGTGGAATCTATTTGAGAGTGCTGACCAAGGTGCAGTGAGATATTTCTGGAAGTCATTGTTCTTCCTCATAGGAGGAACAATTTTTATACTGAATTGTCTGCATATTGATCAGCCCACTCTTTGGGAACGGTCCAGAACTCACAGTGTGAAGGACACACATACAGAGAACACACAGAAGTGGTCTGTGAGTGACCTTGAGGCCTGTCTCACACCATAACAACCCTTGGGAAAATAAAATAGGAGGGCATGGAAGCAGAAACTTTATGACCCTTCCTATCTTGTTTTCTTGCCACTCTAGCCACTGATTAGTGAGCACAGAGGCATGTTACTAAAGATGTTGTCATAGCCATTGTCACATTTGTTTGAGTTCACATGGAACATTAACTTGTGATTTCTGGGAATTTGTTAAATGAAGACGTTGATGCGTTTACTGCTTATCATCATCGGTGTTCAACAAAAACCTCTGATGTGCTGCACAGATTTAGACTCATTTCACAAACATCACCTCCCTGTAGGGGCACTTCTAAGTTCAAGATGATTTGCTGGCAGTTATGTAAACATTTTTCCCGATCACAGTTTTACCTTTAGGCTTACTCACATATCGTGTTGAACTTAAGTAAACTTTTAGAGATTAACTAAGTTTTAGACCTGTGAATCAACTGAAGCATAATTGCATGTGAATTGTGAATTATGGATTATTCCTTAAAATGCCTCCTATTTACTTCCTGATGTTTTTTTTCTAAATGTTTGACATACGCACACACGCACACAGACACACACACAGTTCCTCATAAAAGAATTAAGTGAAGTGATAAATTGGCCCCTAAACTTTCCCAGCCCTTGGATTGATGTATTTTTCTTGTCTGTTATGTTTGAGTCACAGGTGATAAGACAGAGGACGTACTTTACTCTAGCAGAAGTTATTTGATATAAGGCCGTGTTTAAGTGGAAGCAAACACATGGAGGCAATAGACTAATAACTAACTATAACTACTAACAATAAACAAGAAAGGTGAAAGTTGTTAAAACCAGGGCACTGTTTTAAGACTCCCTGGAATTTGATGGACATGTTTATAAGTGATCTTCACTTATCACTATAGTGTTTCCCTTTTCCTGGCCGTTTTTAGTGTGAGTTCTATTTATCAGTCAAGTTTGAGCAGGATTTGAAGGTACATGGCCCAAATGGAGATCAGAAGAGGAATTTGCTGATTTGCATTTGCTGAAATGAAATGTCAGCTGCCATATGATTATATATCTATTTTAATTATCATTTTTCAAATCTATCTTCATTCATGAAGCTGATGGATGAGAGACATGGGATTCAAAGAATCTCAAACTGAAATCTAAGGGTGAACGAACAATGATGGTAGAAAATTTAACACATTTCTTTGGAACAAGCCAGAAAGCTTTTCAAGCACATTATATCAAATTTGTATGCAAATCTGAGCATATAATTTTCAATTTCTGTGCCCACTACAATTTTTTTTTAACTTAACCTCCTAAGACCCGAACTCTTCCACGGCATGCATTTTTAATTTCTCTTTGATATTTGGGCATATTGGGGCCCAATGAATGTAAAAACAAAGAATTACCAGATTTTTTTAAACCTTATTTTTGTTTTTATGAAAAATCAGAGCCACATTTTGATAGAACAGTAGCAGTATAATGTCCTCGTAAGTGGATATCAGGCCCTTGTAAAGCAAAATTTAGTATTTTGGTCTAAATAACCCAAAATGTGATGTCCACATATGTGGACGCCAGGTCCTAGGTGGTTAAATAATACTTAAAAATATTTGCCTTCATGCATTTCAGGATGGCTGATGAGAGACGAGACTTGCTTCTAGAAGGACTTTGGTTGATTATACTGCTATTTATTTTTTATTTTTTGTACTGAGCTTTGTAGCTTTCACTTGGAACGGATGGTTAGTCAGCTGGTTGACAAGCTATAGGGTTCTGAAATTCTGAAAACCGTGTAGTGATTGTGACTCGGTAGGTAACACTCAAGACTGATGGCTCTTTTAGCCTGCATGTCATCAGATGACTCTTTAACTTTTTATTATCTTTTAAAACTTTATCTGCATTCATAAATGTTGTCCAACAGACAGAACAGTAAGTCCACTGGCTATACTGCAAGCACTAAAACACTGGCCTTTGTCCAGAGGCTGATTCAGCAGGGTGCTGTTTTAGTACAGTGCGCAAGGATCCAGACTGTAGTTGTGGTCTCAATATTTCAGTATTATTGCAACTTTTCAATTATCACTGAATTCATTACTTTTATAATTCAGTGATAGTGGTATATCAGATATATTTTGTTAAGATATAAGGCTGAAAAAGTGGCAGTACAAGTACCTGCAGACGTTTTGAAGATGTTTGGGCTGTGACTCTGGAATCTCTACCTGTTCCCACTGTACTATCAATCAAAAATACTCAGTGTAGGTAGCATACCTATAACAATTCCCCAGTTCTATGATGCCATAGAACTGCTTATCTTGTCTGAATTATGGTACCAAAACATCTTGTTTCTTATGGGTCATCAGCTGTGACTCAGGGGCTTGAGCAGGTCACCTTAATCAACAGCAGGTCCAATCTCTGGGTCTCAATCTCTTGGGAAGATAAGAAATGCATACTAAGGCATGTTGTAGAGAATAAAAGGTATAGAATAAATCACTTTATTGGTAGGTGTGTGTGTGTCTGTGTGTGATAATGTGGCTTGTAGTGTAGAAAGCCTGGGAGTGTTCAGTAAAAACAGACAAGTGCTATATAAATGTGTCTATTAACAAAGACATAAGAAAGATCAAAGTAGAAAATCACCAATCTTCATCAAACACTTGTTGAAATGGGGAATGTGGTTGCTCAGTCGCGTAGTAGTATAGGCTTCACTGTGGCTCCAACCTGAAGGACTATCTATAACATGGTATCTACTGCACCCTGGTGGTTTTTCCATATACTATTAATATGTGTACCCATTTTCATTGGTCACTGTACTTGCTGTGTCTTCACTCAAAAGACTAATTTCACATTCTCTGCTGCTTCCATATATTCTCTCCACCCCCAGAATGGTTTAAAATTATTTTCTTAAAATTGTCCTTTTCCTTTGTCCTTATCTTCTCTCTGTTTTCTTGTCTGCTACTCCTCTCAGGTCCCAAATGACCTGCTTGATGTTGGCAGCCAGGGACAACTACAGTAAAGTCATCAACCTCCTGGTGTCCCATGGGGCTGAAATCAACGTCCAGGAACGCAATGGATTCACAGTGTGTTACTTATGTTTGTCAAGTCAAAGTTCTTATGTTGTGGCCTTCAGTTTAACTGTAGCAGACCCTGTAACAGAGGGCACAGTGTAATATATAATGCATAATTGTTATCATGATAACATTTGTACTTTGACCTTATGTATGTAACTAATGTATTTTTTTTGTTAGGCTTTGACTATAGCAGTGCAGTATGGAAGAGAGGAGGCAGTGCTGAAACTCCTCCAGCTGGGAGCAGACAAAACCATCAGGACAAAGACTGGCAAAAGCCCTGCTGATCTGGCTGAGAGTTTCAAACACAGACAGGTACCTAAAGTACTTAGATGCTTTTACATGCCACCTATATGCTTTTAGCATGTCAGAAATGCAGTATTATAATGCTTATAAGCATTAATTGAATTGGTTTGGGGCCATGAATCTACCCACTAAAGGGTCTAGTTTGACTCATTGGATGGGCTTATGCAACTTTTGAGTTATTTTAAAGTTACAGTGATGCACTTGTGGTATGCTGTACTGTCAAAAACATTTTCTACCATCAGCTGCTTAATCTTACAGAGTTCATGAATATGCGTTTGTTCACAGATTTCGAGGATCCTGGCCTCTTCCTCAAACATCTCTAATGTCCAGGCCTTTGGATCCATGGAGGACACGCTATCTAAATTCTTCAAGACTAACTCTGAATTTCCAACTCCCAAGGAGAGGTAAGATAACTCTGAATGCCCTATAAGCATTCACTTGCATGCATTTAGGGCTTTTGTTTGTTTGTTTGGTTGGTTGGTTTTTTTTACACAGCAATAGGTAACATTCTTAAAAGGTTTCTCGATTCTGAACCCATCATCACAGAAGCTTCAGATTTCTAAAGTGTTTTATCAGTATGGTAGTATTATTTTAACTTGTTTGTCTTCTTTTGTTGTTGTTGTTTAATTCCTGTCCGTGAAAACTTGTGGTTGTATAGGGCTGTGAGTTTACAACAGGTAAAAACAATATGTGTTCAGACTTGATTGTCAGTGCTTGAGTGACGATGGACTCTGTTCATACAACTCCTCTTTACACCAATTATCTCTTGTCATTACAAAACTCTATTCTAGTCATCACTGTAGCTTAATGGCCCCTGTTGGATTCTTAGTGAACCAGTGTCTGTGTGGCAGGTGTTGTTGAACCATTGTCGAACCAGACATAAACAATAATAAACCTTCTGCATGAATGTTTAGTCCATTCAGGCACTGCTGGGCAATTATCATCAGCCAGAAATGTAATTTTAGACCACGTCTGGCACTGTGAATTGGAGGCTGTAAACATTTTAGCTGCCTTTCTCTCTTGTCGGCTACAAATACGTTAAAACCCATGTTACACATTAAACATGTTATGAACATCATGAGAAGAGAAGCTAATTTCTGAAGCGCGTCATGCCAGCAGTCAGACTGGAACTGCGAGTACTCTGTGGTTACTCTAATGTGTGTGTACTCCTTGTTGCTCTATTTTGATCCTGAAAGTAGAAAATGATGTCTTTACCCCTTTGACCTCCACGTCAAATGCTGATTTAGAAAGAATGAAAATGTAAAAAATGCAGATCGATCCTCAAAAGCACAAGAGTTTCTGCTTTTTAGCACTGTTGTTTTCTTCTTCTTCTTTTAATCAACAGTAGAGTAGTCAGAAAATCGAATACATTTTGACTCCCGTCCTGTCCCAACAAGTACCGTACTTGGTAGGGATTCTCTGGTAATTAATTTTTTTATGCTGTTAAATGGGAGCAAAAATTCTAAAAAATTTCACTACCTTTCAAAAACCTTCTGAAAATGAATCACTACTTAAAGTGCTAGTAGAATTTAAACAAAAAAATGTGCAAATAGTTCAGATAGTTCCATAAGTTTGAGTAAAGCTAGAAATTAAATCAAAAAGCTTTTTTTTCCAGTCCAAAATAACGAGTTTCCAAAGTTTACAGATGATCGTTCATGGATTCACGACTGCAGTGGATGTGCTCTGGAGTGAGGCTTGCTCTTATCTTTGAAATGATGTTCTCAGCTGCTGATAACCATGGTGAAGATGCTCTCTTCCATGACTTCAGCAATTTGAGAGGTGCATAAGCCTCTTTTCAGGACAAACTCATCTATACACCTTTGTTTAATGCAGGGCAAAACAGAAATAGAAAACACTGCTACTAATTAAAAGTTTGTTTAGATAAATATTTTGACTGCCTGGCCAAAAAAAAAGTCACCACCTGGATTTAATCAAGCAAATAGGTACAAGCCTCCTATTTACAATTACTGCATGGGCAATTATCTTTCAGCTGGCAACAAGTTATTTATCCCCGAGTGGTGCAATGAGTTGCTTCTCATTTCATAAACAACCATGTCGAAAGACACATCTCGTGGTCGTGGAAGAGATGTTAGTGTGTTTGAGAGGGGTCGACTCATTGGTATGCTTCAAGCAGAGAAAACATTTAAGGAGATTGCAGAAACTACTAAAATTGGGTAGAGAACTGTCCAGCGCATTATTAAAAAGTGAAAGGATAGTGGGGACCCATTGTCTTCGAGGAAGAAATGTGGCCGGAACAAAATCCTGAATGATTGTGATCGGCGATGAAGTCAAATCGAAGAAAAACAACAGTAGAATTCAGGGCTATGTTTACTAGTGCAAGTAAAAGCATTTCCACACACACAATGCGAAGGGAACTCTAGTGATTGGGACTGAACAGCTGTGTAGAAACCAGTAATCAGTGAGGCAAACTGGGGAAAAAAGGCTTCAATTTGCTATGGAGCAATGGGAGGTAGTCATGTGGTCTGAGTCCAGATTTACCCTGTTCCAAAGTGATGGGCGCATCAGGGTAAGAAGAGAGGCAGATGAAGTGATGCACCCATAATGCCGAGTGTACAAGCCTGTGGGGGCAGTACTATGATCTGGGGTTGCTGGAGTTGGTCAGGTCTAGGTTCAGCAACAGTTCAGCAACCTGACTATACTGAATAACCAGGTTATTTCACCAATGGGTTTTTTCTTCCCTGATGGCACAGGCATATTCCAAGATGACAATGCCAGGATTCATTGGGCTCAAATTGTGAAAGAGTGGTTCTGGGAACATGAGACATCATTTTCACACATGGATTAGCCACCACAGAGTCCAGACCTTAACCCTATTGAGAATCTTTGGGATGCGCTGGAGGAAGCTTTGCGCAGCATCAATGCAAGCTCTTGGTGACAAATTAATGCAACACTGGGTGAAAATAAATCTTGTGACATTGTAGAAGCTTATTGAAACAATGCCACAGAGAATGCTTGCCGTAATCAAAGCTAAAGGCGGTCCAATGAAATATTAGAGTATGTGACCTTTGTTTTTTTTTTGGTCAGGCAGTATATTTATTATTGTTTCTCAGATGGTCAATGCCAATTAATCTGTTTTAACTGACTTTTTAAAAAAAAAAGAAAAAAAAAAGAAAAATTCCCTTGTGGGCAGTTTATCCTTCATGCCCCAGTCTGGGAGCTTGAGGGGTGCTGTCTCGACAGTGTAGGTGATACTGCCCCGATAGTTTCCTGTGGTGTATTGCAATTACAAAAACACATTTAAGTAGTTTAGTATATGACACGTTGACAATAAAATACAGCGTCGATGAATTTTTATAATCTTATGCCATCGAGTCGTTGCAGCCCTCATGTAGACAGGGAGTTCTTCTGGAACTTTAGCATAAATGCTATAGAAAAACAAGTACACTTATAACCACAGGAAAACTTAGACACAGCACAAAATATAGTGCAAATTCACCAGAATCACAGTGCTACCACATACAACCTAAAAAATATTCTTTTTTAAAAATCTGATACCAAAGATTTAGTGTGTTTAATTTTTGTAATTTAAAAGTGTCCCTCACGTCATTGCTGTTGTGAAATCAGTTCTTTCTCATAGACTAAATATTTGCAGTAGCTAATGTTATACATAAGCTTTATAATATATCTGGTAACTTGGGCACCATCTTAACATTTCATTGTGTCCGGTCAACAGAGTACAATGTTAACATAAAAAAACTGTCTGCTAACATTACGCCAGCGATTTAAAATGAGTTTTTAATAAAGAAGTTTATATGTTTAAGGACATTTTTTTCTATGGTATCAGATTGAGGATGGCATCTTAGATTCAACAGTAAAGTGTGAAGTTTATTAAAAATCTATTAAAAGCTATGAATATTTGGTTGAGAAAATTGTTTCTGTTGTAAACTGGACAGTGCAGAAGTTTTTAGTTGACTAGTTGTCCACACCCTTAGCCACATGGGTTAATATTGTGTAATAACTCAGTTAGCTGTAAGTCACAGTGGAATTTCTGCCCTGTTCAGTGTAAGCAAGCTTGATGACCTGGAGCTCCTCCTGCATGGCCTTAACCTGGGCTACCTCACTGACATTATGACTGTAAGTACTCTAGTGCACCCTGCAATAGGATATGTCTGTATGTTGGTGTGTTTTCTCTGATCAAAAATTTATATTTTGAATGCATAGTACTTTTCTTTTAAATATGAAAGATTTCTCTTATCTCAAAAATTCTAGGATATTGAGCAGATATGGTGTGTTATTGGACACAGTGTGATATATTATTGATGTAATAGGTGAGCTACAATGAAATGAGCACAGCTGCCTTATTGACACAGATACGTCTAGGCTTGTGTCTTGTAGGAATGTGTCTTGTAGTTTACATATTTTACTTGGTACTAAATAATAGATGTAATGTGTTGGATTAGCTTGGCCTGAATTAAACTCGGGGTGAGCTTTGTTTTTAGGCCCTATCTGATTTATGTGGACCAGCTTTGACAGCTGCAGGTGGCTTTCTGTTACTGTATGGAAAAGTGTTATGCAGGTACATCTGCTTCAGGTTGTGAAGTTTTGATTTGGTAAATGTTGAGTGATCTTTTCTGTTTTTGGCTTTCCACATACACACATGCACAGGAAAATGATATCACCTGGAGTTACCTGTTGACCATGGAGGAGGACGACCTTAAGAAGGTAGAGGATGTCTGTAACATCTGTGTGTCTGTCAGCTCTCTTTTCTGGCTGCCAGATTTGATGATGACCGAGAAAGAGAGAGGAGTAGCTGCTGATGTCACCCTTTAAGAAGAGATTAAATGGATACATACTACACTTCTGCAGTATGGGAGAGAAATCAAAAATGTGTAAAAGGTGAATGTATGCAAAATGTTTGCATACATTGTATATAATTCACAGTAAATTAGAGGCAATTGACTGATCAAATTATATGGAAGCATGATTAAACTTCAGAAAAGTTTACTTTATATACCATCGCTCAAGCACCGGGTGTTCAAAGTGCATCACAAAAAAATTTATAAATAAAACTAAAAGCGAGAATAAGGGAAAATGATAGAAAATATAATATTAAGTCTATGGTGTAGCTACATTAGTTAAAAGCAGTTCTGAGTAATACCGTTTTGAAACAATAACAATAAACAATAGCTTCGGTTGGAGAAAATCTCACTTTAGTGGTATAAATGGAACGGTTCTTATATAGAGCTTTTCTACTTTACCTGACCATTTAAAGTGCTTTATACAACTACTGGGCCCCGTTCACACAAGCACTTTCTTTGCTTTTTCTATACAAGTGCTTTCTAACATTCACACACATATAGAGAGCAACTTGGGGTTGATATCTTGCCCAGGGATATTTGGCATGCAGACTGGAGCAGCAAGGGATCAATCCACCAGATTTCTAATTAGTAGACCTGTTCTACCCCCTGAGCTACAGGGGTCCAAGGTTCTTCATACTGTATAATTACCGTATTTTTCGGACAATAAGGCGCACTGTCGATTTTGAGAAAATTAAAGGATTTTAAGTGCGCCTTATAGTGCGGAAAATACGGTATACTATACTATATTGTATGAATGGGGTCTATAAGGCACATTGATGATTTAGAGGAAGAAACTGCATTTGCATTACATTTTTGGTGAAGAAATTCATAAAGTCATTGCTAATTAAGTGAATACTTGGTTTAACAGAGGTCTGGCTCTCTGTCAGTCTGGCTTCAATGTGGAAATGAAACCTGGGGTTGTTCCTGTTTTATTTAATCAGTGATAAATAGTAAGGTTTCCTAGCTTTACAGATGGCATTTTTTGTAATAGAGTAACAACCTATTTTTTCAGACTATATGAAGATCTTCTAAATGAGTGGAATGCCATTTCCTCTTCGGTTTGTATGTTGTCTGCTTTATGATGTGCATTTGTATGTTATACAAGTAAGTCAAGCATGTGTGATATGTTGCATTCTTCTTTTGAGGTTGTATGTAGTGAGGGTGTAAGAATTGTTCCTGTGACTCATCAGATTTTCTGTGTATTTACTAGTGTATTATGATCTACAGCAGGGGTGGGGAACTCCAGGTCTCAAGGGCCGGTGTCCTGCGGGTTATAGATATCACCCTGGTTCAACACACTGACGACGTTCCAAGTCGTTAATAGACGACTTGGAACGGCGAATCGAGGACCTTGAACAATACACAAGAATGGATGATTTAGTCATAAGTGGACTGGAGACGCAACACCGAACCTA